CTTTCTTTCTTTCTTTCTTTCTTTCTTTCTTTCTTTCTTTCTTTCTTCTCTCCCCCACCACCCTCTATCTCTCACTCTCTCTTCCCTCCCTCTTTCTTTTTGCTTTCTTTCCCTACAGGTCCTGATCCCAGTTTTTGCTCTGGGCCGGGCTCAAGAACTCTGCATTTTGCTGGAGACCTTCTGGTAGGTAGCAATCCTTGGTCTCTTGCCTTAAATCCATTGCTCTTCCCCTGCTGAAAGAAAACCCATCCTGCTTGTAGGAACCTTCACTCCCAAGTGTTGTGGTTGGTTTATAGCAGGGGTGTCCAACCTGGGCAACTTGAAGGCTTCAACTCCCAGAATTCCCCAGCTAGCCGTGCTTTCAATCCTCCTCTCCTTTATCCCAATTTAAAGCTGAGTTAAGAGATGAACTAGCTTTGTTTGTAACTTCATCAATAGTGCAGAACATGGGATGGGAGTCGGGCCACATAAAAAGAGCAAATGGAGGCAGAGTTCTCACTTTTTGCCCCACCTTGGAGCGCGAGAGTCACACGCTTTTTGTCTCCCCTTTCCCCCCCGAGGGAGCGCATGAATTTGAAGGCGCCCATCTACTTCTCAACGGGCCTGACGGAGAAGGCGAACCACTACTACAAGCTCTTCATCACGTGGACCAATCAGAAGATCCGGAAAACCTTTGTCCAGAGGAACATGTTTGAGTTCAAGCACATCAAGGCCTTTGAGAGGACCTACGTTGACAACCCCGGGCCCATGGTATGAAGGCAGAGGTGTGGGCGGGGTGGCACTTAAAGCCACGGCGTGCTTGTGTGAAGGGGGAGGGGCCAGAAATAGGAGAATTTGCCATGGCTCAACCACAGCCAGTTTGCAGAGCAATTCAACAGTTCGGCTTAATTATTGAAAATAATTTGAAAGAATGCTTTTAATTTTTGTCACTCACGTTTCATTTGGTCTCTTCTTTGGCATCCTTTAATTATTATATCCCACCCATTGGGTAAAATGAGGACCCAGATTGTGGGGGGGCAATATGCTGACTCTGTAAACAGCTTAGAGAGGGCTGGAAAAGCCCTGTATTGCCATTTCTTCAATATTAATGTAACTCTTGTCCCGCGGTGAATTGGCCATGGCAAATTGTCCCGTGGCAGTGGCAAGTTGGCTGAGGCAAGTCATTCTAGACTCAGATTGGCCAGGGAGGGACCATTATGAAACCACCAATTTAATCTTGGATGGGTTGATCTAAGCTCTTCCCTTCACACCCCAACTAGGTTGTGTTTGCTACGCCAGGGATGCTGCACGCAGGCCAGTCGCTCCATATCTTCAAGAAATGGGCCGGCAACGAGAAAAACATGGTAGGAGAAAGACTTCAAGTCTACCATTAAGCAATGAATTGCCCAGAGGTTGTGTTATCCAAACTCTGCTGTTTTAACTCTTGTGTGAAAGTGAATTTGCATTCTGTTGCCTTGAAAGTTCACTTGTTTATGTGGGTGTTTGTGTGGGGAGAGTTAGCTGCTATTTAATTTGTATTCTCAAAGTCATGGCCTGCTTGTAATTTCCTTCTGGCTTTTCTCTCCCCAGGTCATCATGCCAGGGTATTGTGTCCAAGGAACGGTGGGCCACAAAATTTTGGGCGGGCAACGGAAGCTAGAAATGGAAGGAAGACAAATTGTGAGTTGAAACCCTCTAGGAGAGGGTGGTGTGTGTGTCCCAAAAAACTTACTGATGTTAAGGAACTCTGCTTTTTAAAAATTGGGACAGTTGTTTATTTTTTATTTTTTAAAAAAGGAGATGGATTGTAATCTGTACTTCCTTACTTTACTATCAATGAAACATTCGTGGAGTGAAGGGATGCAGTAAGGTCCAAAACTACAATCTAAAATGGGGGACAAAATTAAGTGTTGAAGAAATCTTAGCGGTCTCAGCACAGTTCTTCGCTCCTAACTAGTTTGCTACACGTAGGGAGAGTTTTTTAAAAGTAGAAAAACATTCTAAATCGCACAAAAATAGAGGTTGTCGGGCTGGAAAGGGCACTCCAGAGGGCTGCCATGCTGATATTTTTTTTTGGCCTCCTCTGCCTTGCTCCCCAACAGCTGGAAGTGAAGATGCAGGTGGAGTACATGTCCTTCAGTGCACACGCCGACGCCAAGGGCATCATGCAGCTGATTCGGCAAGCCGAGCCCCGCAACGTCCTGCTGGTCCACGGCGAGGCCAAGAAGATGGAGTTTCTGAAGCAGAAAATCGAGCAAGAATTCCGTAGGTGTCCGAGAAGGCTGGGATTTTGTTGTTGTTGGGCAGCCTTTTGCCCCCCTGAGGTTCGCCAGGGGCTTCTTGAAACACAGAAAGCCCGAATGGGTTTGTTGCAGAAGAAAGACGGAGTTGGCCAAGAAGGGTACCCAGCGCTGATTCGCAAGTGGGGGGGATTGGCTGGTTTCCTGATTCAGTTCTGCATTTCCTGGGAGCAGCAGTGACGCTGAGCCATGGTGGCGCAGTGGTTAGAATGCAGAATTGCAAGTTAATTCTGCCCACACCCAGGAGTTCGATCCTGACGGGCTCCAGGTTGACTCAGCCTCCCATCCTTCCGAGGGTGGTAAAACGAGGACTCGGATTGTTGGGGGCAAGAGGCTGACTCTTTAAACAGCTTAGAGAGGGCTGT